CGCCGCGGTTACCCCCGCCGTCCCTCCGGCCAAATCTGTCAACGGCCTCTTCCAGGCTTTTATCGAAAAACTAAGCGATAGAAAATCTAGAGGCACACCCTGTAGTGGAAAAAAGCAGTCAAGCAGTCGCCGTAGGTCTAAGTAGCCAAACGATAATCATAAGTACTGTTGGTTCCACGCACGTTTTGGCAAACATGCTGCCAAATGCACTCACCCGTGCTCGTGGAAAGGACAACCCGTTTCGGGAAAAGACTGAGCCGACGACTGATTACGACGTCATCCGTTGGCACACAAACTAAGAGCCGCCTTTTCCACGTTAGAGACTCCATTAGGAGTGTGTATTTCCTAGTGGACACCGGTGCGGAAGTGAGCGTCATTTCTCCTTCCTCCACTGAAGCTAGGCTCCCAGCACCTTCCGTCGCGAACTATTCGCCGCATATCTGGCTTTTCATCATTTTCGTCATTCAGTAGAAGATAGTGATTTCACCATTTTAACTGACCATAAGCCACTCACATACGCTCTCAAGCCCTCTAGTGACAGATACTCTCCTCGACAGATACATCACTTGGACTACGTGTCACAATTCACTACTGACATTCGACACGCTGCGGGTATGGATAATGTCGTTGCCGATGCTCTCTCGCGCATAGCGGTAGTTTCTGATAACGTGATCGATTTGACACGTATGACACAACTGCAAGATTCCGACCCAGACTTGGAAAACGTATTGAAGTCCTCTTTAAATCGTCAGCGTTTGCCACTAATCAATTCCGAGGGCACGATCTGATGTGACGTTTCACGCACCCCACTTCGTACTTAGAAACCCGTAAAGATGCGCAGAGTAGTTTCCGACACCCTGCATAACCTCTCTCATCCAGGTATTCGAGCTAGTTCAGCATTAGTCAGCCAACATTTTGTCTGGCAATCCATGCACAAAGATGTACATAGTTGGGCACGTTTCTTTTTAAGGTAACCAGACAAACTACTATCCCTCTTGGTACTTCTGGCACTCCCGATGCCAGGTTCGGTCACGTACACTTAGATATAGTGGGACCGTTACCGTTACTTACCTTCTGACCTGCGTAGATCGTTTCACGTGTTGGCCAGAAGCAGTTTTGATCACCGACTTCTCGACTGAAGCCGCAACTAAGGCGTTCGTGGAGCGTTGGGTAGCGAATTTTGGGTGTCCTACTAAGTTGACTACAGACCGCGGCCCTCAATTTGAGTGTGCATTATTCAACTCACTAACAGCCATGTTAGGATGTCAACGTATACGCACCACAGCATATCAGCCGGCAGCTAACGACCTTGCCAAACGTTTTTATCGACAGCTTAAGGCTGCACTTAGTGCACATTTCTTCATTTCATGGACGGAGGCACTCCCACTCGTGCTACTTGGTATAAGAAATGTCATGAGAGACGATCTCAAATGCACTCCGGCCGAGCTAGTACATGGGACTACACTCCGTCCTCCCGGAGAGTAAATTTCCCCACACAAAGCTTCACTTCAAGCATCGCCGGATTACGTCCAACGGCTTACTCATCACACGCATGAGCTAACCCAAGCCGTCACTCTCGCACAGCAAAAGCAGTCTTCATACATCCAGACTTGAAGACTTGCACACACGTTTGGGTCCGTTACTACGCAGTACGCAGACCCCTACAGGCTCCATATGATGGCCCCTACCGCGTACTTTGACGTAGACATTGATAGGAATGATCAGCGCGATACTACCTCCATCGACCGCACGGAGCCAGCTTACGTCGACCCAAGAAATGTGCTATGCAGTGGAACACCTACTACCACGACGTTTCTTCCTCAGTACTGCATTTCACGACAACCCACATTAGTAGTCGTGTGGTTATTGGGGAGAGCGTTACTGTGAGGAGTAAATTCGGTGGAGGGAGGTAGTCGTCAACTTTCTGGATGTTAGCAATGCATGAACGGACACTGAAGAAGTAATATTTTCAATCAGTGGAAAACAGATGCTGACGTTTTTGCCTTGTCTCGGATTGTGAGGAAATTTGACGCCCTTAGAGATGCCTCAACAACAGACTTGTTGTTCGAATGATGCTATGGAAACAGATGAAGATCGTGGGTGGTTAGCACTGGAAGATTTACCATGTCATCCGTCTTTGTTTAACTAACCCGGATAACACCAATAAAACTATATATTTAACTGATATGGACTGGTCATCCTTCAGATTGCATCTTTACACGCAGTCCTCAGTTCATTCAATCAATGGGAAAACGAATATACTTATACATTTTATAAAGTTGTTTACCAATCATGTGTTGTTTCATTGGGTATGTGAAAAAGTATAAAAATTATTGAAAACCTCGGACGTTGGGGGACGCAATCCGTCTAATATGAAACGAGGACGGATTTACCATTTACCAGTTCCACACGATTTGGACATTACAGTTATTTCGGTGTTAATCTAGATTAACTTGGTGTAGAAATCTGAGAACTTAATAAAACTTGAATAGATCCTTCAGTTGATGTGCTTGAATAATATTTTTATTCTGTTCATGACCAGTTTCACAGGCGAGAAGTGTGCCCCATATTCGAGAAACAATATTCATGTAAAAGGCCTGAATTCCGCAATAACGACGGACATGTGAACTGACTACTGACAAGTATTCAGTTGTTGAATACGGATATCTGATAATGGTTCTATCTTTCATGCAACACATTGCACAGAAACACTCATCGCTTACTCTTGAACCTGAATGTGCACAGCTAGTTCCTTCAAGCTAGCCCCACTCTGTTCGAAACAGTCCTCCATTGANATGTAGGGATGCTTTCACACGTCTGCGACCCGCATTCTCCGTGACCGGTATCACCGGTTCCGAACGGGTATTAGTTGGGCTATCCTCCGTGTTTCGTGTGACCTTCACTTCGGATGACACGGAACGTCCATTTGTTGAGTCCAGTCGAGATGCCGCACCATCACGTGGTGGATCGACTTTCGGCTCGATGCCGACCGATACACTCATGACACTGATCACATTCGAATGGGCCGGGCGAGACGCGACGGGTGCGCGATGAACTGACGAATGATCCGTACGCATGCTGACCGAATCAGTTTTCGTGGTCGCGCAGCTGCTGCTTCCATTTTTTGTGGAGGACTTGTTCACCTCATTTACTCCACGTTTACGGGCTCGCATACGCAGCTTCTTTGAGATTATCATCTATGGGTAGTTTATCCAGGGAGAATGGAGAAATTAATGTAAATAGACTCAATGGAACGTAAGCAATTCACCCAAAGGCATTGATAAAAACCAAACGGAATAGACTGGTACAAAAACGTTTTGGGAAACATCG